GTAAAAAAATTTTCTGGCATTCCACCGGTGGGGTAGCTAGAAATTTTGTTTCGAAAAAGGTGGGGTAATGATTTTTTCCGGCTTCATTATACTTTCTCTTCGGCCCCCACCCCTGCCATAAATAATGACCGGTCCCTTAGTTAATAATTTCCTGATGAAAAGCATTTGCCCAAAGTTTCATAAATATAAGTGTTATATTTATTCCTACGGAAGTTCAGAAACATAGTACACATAAGGATACGTGTACTAGACCGTCACATTTGAGAAAACCAAACAATATATATAATGTCGATAAAAGCCGGCGAATAAGAAAAGCAGATTTCACAGGCACGCCAAAGCAAGTGATACGAGTACAAAAATCTACAATATAAGACGTACACTGAGACACCAAGTCCAATGCCTGCTCCAAGATTCATAGTAACTCTGCAAACTGGTCGCTTTTTATTATCCTTCTTCTGAACTCTGGAAACATTAAATAAATATATCAAGATTTATTCCAGTACAATATCTGAGAATTTCCCTTCACTACGGGGACACTGTCCGCGGAAATGTAATTAAAGGGGACATTATCCGCCAGCGAATAGTATTCTGGGGAACACTATCTCCGGGAGACACTATATCCACTGTGACACCGGTAAAAATAGCCACATGTACGTACAGTATGCAGCACAGTGATAAATGTACGGTCGATCTCCTAATCGGCAGACACCAACGAAGAACGTTTCAAATATCTTTTTTAATTAGATGCGAAGGAAAAGGAATAACTATAATGACTTTAATTCTTCAAATATAGTCCGCACATATAGTGTTGCCACACTGGACAAAGTTTACATTAATTGTAGGTTCGAATATAACATACAGTATGTGTTGATGTGATTGATCCATTCATTCATTCATTCATTCAATATTAAACTAGATGACACTCCGAGACGGCATACCTCCGCCAGGGAATTAACTTACGTATCACGCATAAATTATGCAATGGGCTAATTACGCATTCAGTTTACTCTGCATGGCAAAGCAAGACAGATTTTTGCTTCCAAAATTTAATGAGTTTAGACAGACAGACAGACAGACAGGGATGAAAGCATAACTTCCTGGCACAGTAAATATTGGTTCATTGAAGTTTGAAACAAACCTCGTAAGAAGTTCTTCAAATTTCTCAGCAGGATCAGGCATGGTGGCTCTATCTTCTTCATCAACTTCACCAACGATATGCTAGATTAATTAAAGAGGCTGTCAAGTCCGTTCTGCTCATGCGCGTGTTTTCTTTACATTATAGCTCCCAAACGACAAATTTAAGATCGAAAATGTTAAGAAACACACCTTTATACAAAAGTATTGACAAAATTTCAATACAGGGTGTATCAAAATAACTGAACAGATTTGAAATAGCTCTCAATTTTGCATAACAGCTATTAGTATCCAGTTTTTATGTATATATATATATATATATATATATATATATATATATATATATATATATATATATATATATATATATATATATATATATATATATATATATATATATATATATATATAGCTCTCTATATAT